TTTAAAAAATAAGATGTGGAACTACTGAAAACATCTAATTATAATTTACTATCAGCAACAAAGATTTGAAAATGTTAATGCTTTCAGAATCTTCTGAGAATTGCTCTTCTTAAAAAGCTGTACTAATATAACTGTAACCAAATACTGTAAGAAACTCAGCATCCTAACAACTGAAACAAAATATGCTCTTTTATACATTCCATTATTAATGACTTTTTCCAAATTGCTTGTTCTTAAAATAGTTATTTCATATAAACACAATCAGATTATTTACTGAACACTGAAACTTCGTAACTAATACTAAACATTCTTCAGTATAATTAGTAACCTCAAATTAGCTGTGGAGAGAAAATGTTATATGTAACCGTAAATTATAAATTCCTTATATGAATTACTAATGTTTGCAAAAGAAACAGCAATGCCTACAATCATTTATTTAATTTATAAGGTGCCAACAACGTAAGCAAAAACTATCAACCTTTCTTTTCGAAGTTAATACTTTCAGATCAAGTTCCTATTGATAATACCCTAGCATATGATTCATAGCATACTAGCTAAACTGCTAAGCAGTAAACATACAAAGGACTTTTTCTTGTATGTTTTTTCTGTCTTCAAAGGATGCAACTAATTGAAAAACTAACATGAATTCCACTGCCAGCCAACTTAATTATGTTAACTACTCAGTTAAACAAATGCATAAGAATAAATTGCAAGTAATTTCTACTATTGCAGTTACATAAAAGTAGAACTTTGATCCAAAGTCCCTTGCTTCAAATCAAGTTTTACTAAATCAATTCAAATATAAGCATATTTGTTATCTGAGATTAAAGGAAATTCTGCCTGAAGTGCCAGTGTTAATCCATGAATCTGAATTCAAGAATATCTGTGGGATGGCTCAAAAACTGCAGCTATGTTTTGTAATGGGTGAATCCAACCTCACACAAACAAGTCTACACATTTAAAAGGTTTCTATTCTCCCTACACCGTACACCCCAAATCTTCCTTTCAGGAGATTTTGAGAGTACATGATAGAACTGCTTCAATCAGCAATCTATCAGTAGAACACTGGGCATTAGATTCCACCTATGCACCTCTGAATACTTTAGAACATGCACACACATATTCCTTCTGAATAATTTGTGATCCTGTAAAGCTCATAAATTTGCACTCAGGATAGTCTGTGATATTTCTTAAGATACATTTATCACAAATACTTGTGATAATTTCTTAAGCCACAGTGCTAATAATGTTAAGACCTGGTTTGAATTTCTCTTCAAAATAATTTTTTATAATCCACATTCTGTAGCAAATTCTGTTGTGTTATTAAACTCAAAAAGAAACCAAAGTATAACTGATTTCCTCTTCATTTGCAAATAGTATTAGCCAGGGCTATTTAAAACTGGGGCGGGGGGATCTACCCCCTTAGATGTCTGAATAAAATTGTGGTTTTCCCAAATACATAGCATACTGAGAAAATAAATAAAGCAAATACATAGCTCTAATTCTGGGCAAATGTCTTAAGATACATAGATTTGTTATCATTCACAGGGAAATCTCAGCAGACTGCATCAGGGCAATAACAGATGGGTAACCCAATCCTCAAAACATTTGAAGAGTGCCAAAAATGGCAACAGAATCTATTTTCTCACATTTCACCACCTACCTACATTTGTTATGGTTAAATTTATTACTGGTATCATCCACATTGGTCTCACAGTATATTTACTTTAAAAACCTATAAGATACATATTTAAAGTGCCTGAAAAAGGAAGAACAAACATATATGACAATCTTTTGCAAAATATTTTAAAGGGAGAGTATGATTCAGCTGAGGTTAAGCAGAAGACTCCTCGCTGAAATCTGAAAAATGTTTATAATAGCTTCATTATATCTTGGCAACTCTCATAACTACTATAAATATTAAGGGGAAGAAGACTGAACGCCGTTAAAGTATCACCTCAGCTAGCTACCAAATAAGCAATTTCATCCCCTCCCTCTTTCCAGTTTCTTATTATCAGGATACAATTACCGACTGCCTCGTCCATCTCGGAAAAAAACAGATCAACAAAAACTCGTTAAAGGCAATCCTGGTGATCTACAGCATTACTACCCAGCTACAGGTGACAAAAGAGCAAGAGTTAGCCAAAATAAAAGAGGAGACGAGCAGAGACCGATAGAGGGCAATTCCGCAGAGTCAAGCTGTGCTTTGGTTATCTTTCGCGTGTTCCGAGATTGTCTGTTAGCGGCGCAGCTAACCGAAAACCTCGTCTCCACGCTATCTGGCCTAATCTTCCTATCTCCTGCTTTTGTTCCTCCCCGCCTGACTGAACAGTTCTGGAGGACTCAAAACCTTGCACGCCGGAGCCCCCGATTTTTAAAGAGCATTCCCTTTTCCCCCTCCGGGTCCTGCACGGGTATTCTCGTTTTTCTGCCCCTCCTTCCAGGGTCCCTCCCGACGGCCGCTGCCCGCTGCCTCCACACCGGGGCTGAACGAGAGGGGCCTCACCTGAGAAAGCTGCCTGGGGTTGGGGCAGCCGAAGAGCGCAGAACTGGAGCTGAAGCTGATGGCCCCCCTGCGGCTGAGGACGTGCTGCGGGACCGGCCTGTCCAGAGGCAGCACCGGCAGTTGATAGCATACTTCCATTGAACCGGGGGCAGCACCGCCGCCGCCGCCACCTCGTCTCCTGGGGCGCCAACCAAAGCCAGGCCCGGCTCCGGGAGCGAGGCAGGCCCGGCTCCCCGCTTTCACCTGCCCCACGCGCACCCGGGCAGCGCTAGAGAG